GTAACCTGTGCAGTCTAGGAAAATTGTCCTGGAAACTTCATAGCAATTGAGCATATACATAATATAGAGAGATTTTCTCTGTGTGCAAAACTCTACTGAGGAACACTCTACTGTGGAGAAGTGACAGGTGTGGAGAGAGGAGCTATTTTTAATGGAGATTATAAGTATTAGGAAGCCACTTTCCCAAAAGCATCCACAGCTACAGTGGGGAGAGAAATGTGTTTTCTGGAATGAATTATTTTAGGTTGAATTGAATAACATAATTCAAATACTTCAAGTAGAAAATAATTAGGCTATTTATTGATTTATAATAAGATATGCTCTTCCTCTGTAAAGATACTGTACAGAGGGGTTACAGTTACATGAGCAAGGTAATGAGTCCATTTCCTATCGAGCATTGTTACATCCTCCTTTATTTTTCCCCTACCATCCCTTTCCTCCCCACCTCCCCAACTCCCTCCCTCTCTCCTCCCTCACATCCCCACAAAATTGTTAAGTTCATTTTCAACATATTGTTTTGTACATCTCATTGTTACAATGGGTCATCCAGTATCCTTATTTCAGCATTTTGTTATTTCCCTTCCCCCTCCCCAAATTAGAAAAATGTACATACAAGATGCAGGACACTGGAATCAAATACAGTATCAACAGAGATTGTACCATGGGGGAAGAACATACAAAGAAGCAAAAAAATCACATAGTACATTATAAGTACATTAAAAAGAACAGCAAAAAAGATAATTCTATGACATTCCAGTTTCAAATTAGTCTATAGATGCAAAGACAAGGCCTAAGGAAACTGCTAAGGGTAAGTGAAGGAAAATCAAGGCCACCTGGTAGAGAGGGAGGGAGATGCTGATTTTAACCACAGACCTGATTTTGAAAGCTGATAGTATGTAAAGCAAGTAAAAGAAGACACATTGAGAGAATAGAAACCGCTCGGTGTGACCTTAGACTCCATTCCACTATACCAATCACTTCCTTTCTCCATCATTAATGAGAAAGTTGGTTACTTTGCAAGGAATATGGGAAATTATTCTCTTCTTACTTATTTATTCTCTCATGAGGCAGGTGCCATAAGAAAAACCAGTTCGTCTAATCCTCAGAAGGCCAAGTGATCTTTTATGAAATTGAGTTGGAACTCACATCCTTTTATGTATTTAGCTTTCTTTGAAAACAATATTCCCCTATTATAATGACAAAAATACACAGAAAGAAAACAAATAAATGATGAAAAGTTTTTACATTTTTTAGCACCTTAGACTTGCTTCTACCTTAACTAAATAAAATGCTGAATATAGTTACAGCAAAGCTTGTAAGAAGTTTATTTTGAAGTTTATGCGGGGGAAGGGGGAGAATCTAAGTAGTAAGAGTCCTGTATCAATCATGTCTTTTCTTGAACATACTGCTCATCATCTAAGGCCAGGGGTAAGTTGAAAGAGAAAGGGTGGGGATAGGAGAAGCTAGGAGGAAGAATTATATTAGCACAGAATTGTTTACCTCTCAACCTTGGAGTTCTGACACATAGGAGGAAAAAGATAACTACAATCAAATATGGAATTGAAACATCACAAAACTTGTTTGAGGTACCAAGAAATTAATTTGTGTGAAACCAGAGAATGAGAGGCTCCTCAAAATAAGTCTTTTGGAGAGGAGAGAAATGACTAGGCCTCTAGGTACGGCTGACCATCAGTTCTGAATTGGTCCTTCCCCAATTTAGTGAAGTGATAGACACATCTGACCAGCTTTTCTAAGACAGGGGGCTTTGCTTTTGCAGAGACAATTCAGATAGATGGGAAGTGCTCTTCTCCCAGACATGATTAATAAACAAAAGCAGGACACAGAAAGTTCACCTTCTGAGCCAGCAAAAGGGCAAGAACTGGACAGTCTTCTAAGTGTGCTGACTACTGTGGGCTGAGGACCTCTATTCTATTTAATTCTCAGATAAGAAGTCTCTGTGCTGCTTCTTGTACATTTGAGTACAGGGAACTAGTACCTTCCCAACAATGTAACTAACAGAGCATTTGGTCCTAAATGTTTCAGGTTTTTTAGAATAAAAGACACTCAGGAAATAGGCAGGTACTTTGTCAATTACTCTCATCTCAATCTTGAGCAACCAGCCAAGAATTACAGCCATGGAATCAGTCTTTGTAAAGAGCAGGGTGCCTGGTGAGACAGCAGCAACTGGACACGAATGTCAGAAACCAAGACTGTTTTGTCATCCTGCCTACCTCTAGTTGTCATATTTTGATTTTGCTCATATTTGCAGCAAAAACATGTTTTATTCTTCTCTTTCTCTATGCATAGAAGACTAGTTTATCAAATGTATTTGAAAAATACAAGGAATATTATCCACTGATTGTTTTTAATTCAATGATTTGATTTCTATATGTGTACTTATTTTGCGCCAGTCCTGGGGCTTGATCTCAGAACCTAGCCTCCGTCCCTGAGCATTTTTGTTCAAGGCTAGCCATCTACCACATAAAGGGCAGCTCTAATTTTGGCTTTTTGCTGATTAATTAAAGGTAAGAGTCCCACAGACTTTTCTTCCCAGGCTGGTTTTGAACTGTGATCTTCAGATTGTAGCCTCCTGAGCAGATAGAATTTCAGGGGTGAGACACTCGTACCTGCCTACATATATAATTTCCACATAAATTGAGAACACCTAAACATTGGATATTTCACTGAAATTTGTATATGTCTCCAACACTCTTCATAATCTCCAGGTAAGATTTCCTGTAAACCTCTATAGCCTGGTACCACTTAACCAAAGTACTGATGTGTACAAGTGTAGGGAAAACAAATTTCAATTAAGAGAAATTCAAAACAAAGGAGGAGGCAACAATGCTTGTTAAGAAATATACTCATGGGGAGGGGGAGTGATGGGAAGGGATAGTAAGGAGAAACAAAGGAGGAGGCAACAATGCTTGATAAGAAATATACTCATTACCTTGCTCATGTAATTGTAACCCCTCTGTATGGTATTTTCACATTAAAAAATCTTATTAATAAAAAATGCCGCAATAAAAAAGAGAAATTCAAAAGGCAAAGGTGAATATCACTCAACTTCTGCTTTACATCATTTACAGAAAGCCATGTAGCTCAGGAAATTCTCACTGAGGTGCTTTTCTGTCTTTATTCCTTATCAGAAAGGATTCTTGTCATTCTTTAACTGCACTTGTTAAAAAAAAAGTTCAGGATATTTTGAGTGGGGTAGTAATAACTCTTCAGTATAGCATATTTCTTTCTAGATTTGTTTTTCCAGTATTTGCTTATAAAGAATAACACAGCTCATTCTTTATTCACCCAAAAGTGTTTACTGGAATAATATGTAATATGAAAAGATTTTGTGTTAGAACTTGTGACTGTGTGATTTATTCTTTACGGCTAATGAGAAGCAGCTACCTGAAGAGATACGGCAAGGATCGGACATATTCACATCTGCCAGGAATTGTTACTGTCTATACACTCCTGTGTTCTTTCTCCATGATCTTCTCTTTTTTATTAACACATAATAATTGTATAATGGTAATATGTGATATTTGCAAATACAGTGTGTACTAATCAGATCTCTTGTCCAAACTTAAGTAATGATGGTTCTAAATTTGGGTCTCTCTCTCTCTTTCTCTTTCTCTCTCTCTCTCTCTCTCTCTCTCTCTCTCTCTCTCTCGTCTTTGTTTGTACAGAGTACTTTCAACTCAACGTGTCAGTTAGTGAGTAAACATATCTCAAAAAATGTTACCTCTTTCATCATTCTACTGGTTATTTTTTCCCCTTAATTCCACATTGGAGCAATGGCATGTAACACTTACCTGTATTGAATGGTTATAGTGTATCTTAAATTTTCTGTGTAAGAGGAAAACAAGCCTGGGAACCATAAGACTTTGTATGCATCTAAGGCAAAGATAAGCTGGGAGAAATCAGCTGCCTAGGTTGCAATTTGCATTTTCCTTTCTTTTTCTTTTTTTGTCTATCATAGGACTTTTATAGGGCCTGGTGCTATCCCTGAGCTCTTTTGCTCAAGACTAGTGCTCTGCCACTTTAAGCCACAGTTCCATTTCCAATTAACTGGTGGTTAATTGGAGACAAGAGACTCACAGACTTTCCTTCCTGGGCTGGTTCAGACCACAATCCTCAGATCTCAGCTCCTGTGTAGCTAAGATTACAGGTGTGATCCATCAGTGCCCAGTACAATTTGCATTTTCAGAGTAGAAGATACTCTATAAACAACTGTGGCTCAGAGTCTTTGTTAGGATTCTTCACAGTCAATCCCAGTATCTCTGACAGACATATTCTTTTATAAATGTTAAATATGTCAGCATCTGAAAGTTGGTTAATGGCTTTTTACCAGATATGACATGAAAAAGATTCCAGAGTGTGATTTTTAATCAAAAAAATTAAAACAACAACAACAAAACTCCCTGAGATTGAGATTACATGATTTTAAAACAATTTTTCACAATATAGATCAGGAAAATAAAATAAGTCTAAAACCTAAATGAAAACATATCTGCTAAACAGACATAAACCATTACATAATTGGGTTGCAAATACAAGATTAAAAATATTTCATACATAAATAATTCAATGAAGAATGGAAATTAGCAATCAGACTCAACAGGAAGTAGAGTTCAATATTTAAAACATTTACAAAAATGAATTCAAAACCTTTGTGATAGTAAGGGAAAAATTTTATTAGAAACAAGTCAGGTGTAAATTGCACATCTTAGCTATAATTTTAAAGATAGAGATTTATTGACAAAAAAGATGATTAAACTTCCAGCTTTCAGTCTGTATAAAAATAGTATAAGTGGATTTAAAATGTTTAATTTACAACTTATAGCTAGGCTACATCATGTAACAAATTCCATATACACAACAGTACATCCATATAGAGAAAGAAAACTAAAAGCTCCAACATACCAGCCTGGAACACCCCAACACCAGCAATAACAAAACTCAGAAAGAAATCTAGCATTTCAGAAAACATTCCTCCTTGATCAGAACTTAGGTCTGAATAACAGCTTGTGTATCCTTCTTCGGATTTCCTTTGTCTTGATGGAGTAGATAATTGGGTTGAGCATGGGAGGCACAAAGAGATAGACCAGGGA